TTATCAAATAAGCTTCGTGTGGGTGCTTGAATCACTCTGATCAAACTACAGATGCAAAAATGGTGCATGTCAAAAGTTCACATTATGAACTATTATGACAACAGAATCTGTCATGTGATCCAAGGCACATGACGACATACCACGGCATGTGAACCCTTCTTTAAAATTGTTTGTTGATTTTGATTCATATATTGAGAGTGTAGTATGCAACATATTAGTGCCTATTGTGGATTACATTATGTGAATGATTGTGAATAGATTTAAAAAGGATTTTAGGATTGAAAATTCCTATATCATGTTAAGCTTTTCAAAGAAAAAAAAAAACTAGAATGTAGAAGAGAGTACACCTTAAGTTATTTTAATCCCATGAAAGCAATCAATGGCAATCAAAACCAATCCAAAGATTATAACAAGTTAATGGCAAAGGTAAATTCAAGAGAGTTTTAGAGTTTTAGATATTAATATTTTTGAATTTTTAATAAAGTGATGAAAGGAAAATGATGAAGGTTCAACCAAGCATTTAAAGCAGCTCTCCAATAAATGAATCTACCTATACTATCCTAATCTTCTTAACTTTATTCTATTTAGTTCTTACCCTTCAATTGATATATGGAGATGCTTAAATGACCTTTAGGACTAGGCACAAGTGATTAGACCAATTTACAAACACCTTAAAGACTTATGCCAATCTATAACTTAACTCTTGAAACTAACCTTAGCTTTTGCCTTGATCATATTTAATACCTTAAACCAATGAAGATTATGATATTACCTAGAGTTTAAGACATAAACATTTGCTGCCCAAACAAAAAGAGATTGAAATAAAAATATGTATTCATTCATCAAAATCTTGAGGCATAAACACAAACACTTAGAGTACACAACTAGTTCAAGAATTGATATATCTTCTTCTTCTTTAAACAAGAAATTTGGCCAAGATGAGACAACTGAGACCTAGATTGAATCATCAAGATCACAAATGAAAGAATCAAAGAAGAAGATGAGAAGAATCACAAGAAAAATGAAATGAAAAGTGAAGTTAGAAAAACTCAAGCATAGGCTTCATCTCCTTAAAGAGCTTTAAGAAGATCTAGCTACTCATAGTGGTTCTCTTCATAATCCATGTAGAGATTCTTCCTTGAATGGCTTTTATAGCTTCAAACCTTGGTTGAGAAGAGAAGAATGGTGGCTGGAAGTGAAGAGGATGAGAGAAAATGGAGGGAAAAAAATGAAATGGAGTCAAATATGGAATTGTGATGAAAACAATATGATTTTTGTGAGTGAGCCTTGTGATTCATGTCCAACCTTCCTAATCAATATTTGAGAGTGTAAAATAAGTAAAATGGAGTAGGTTCTAGGTGGTCAAAGCAAAGGAAAAATCTGAAATTAGTTAACTAACTAGGTTAAGGTGTTAAATCATAAATGTGACCGTTAATCAAGCCAGATTAATTTGAGTGCATTTATAGCTCTTCATGGAGGTCCTTGATCAAAACTCGTTAATACTTCTAAAATGATGATGAGAGGGTGATTAAGGGGCTTCTTGGTCAAAATCCTCATGGTTTAGATTTATTAGAAGCTATTTGAATTAACTCTTGCACATATGTCACTCTAGGATTTTCTTGCTTTGTAGTTTGTCTGGTAATTCAATCTTTTGGTCATTTAATCTTCATTCAAATCCTTGTTTGCATATGTAATTAGACAAAAAAGAGTGATCAAAGCATGTGTGTAAAATTTGAAATCAAAACTTAAAGCCAATTACAAAATATCATGTTTAACAACCTAGTATTAATGTTTTGTCTTGGAACATTCAATGACTTATTTCTTTTGATATCTCTTTACAACACAGAATGAATTTGAATCTCAAACTTGTTTCATTGATATTAGGAAGACAAAAGACACAAACTAAGCTAATGTCCTAAAAATGCTCAAAAATTGTCAAAATAACCAAAACACCCTTAGACTAAGAATGAACCCTAAATGATTTTTAAGGCCTAGAAATGCCTAATTATGCAATATGTTAGGGATCCCAAATCGTTTAAAAATAATTATTTCTCTTATTAATTAATTAATGATAGTGATGAGTGTTATAACCTTTGCTAATGACAAGTGGTCATTGGTAGAGGTTACACTATGAATTCTTAAATGTTCTTAACCAAGAAACTATGAGGGTTAGCAAGCAATCCACAACCTAGAGCCTTTGCCTCTAAAATCTCCTCTAGCCTTTTAAAATACCTAGTATTAAACCTTGTATCTATAACAAACTTTCCATTAGCTTTTAACTGGACCAAGCATTTAGCAAGCATGTTGTCTTCTTGAAATGTCTAAACATGCTTACTGTCCTTACAAATATCTTCTTGTGTTTTCCATCCTGTGTAATCAAAAGTGAAGAAAGAGCAATAAGAGTTTATTTGGTATAAAATTATAATAAGTAATGCTTTAAATTTTTTTTTTGTCAAAGAAGTAATACTTTAAATAACTTTGGGAAAAAAAACACTTTTCTTTTAAATTGGTAGCCATTACAAATATCATGCTTTCTACTTATTTGCTTGTTTATATTTCAATTTTATTTGATTTTTTATTCAACTAGAAAAAAACCTTGCATGAGACACCCCAAAATAATGCTAAACTATACATTTGATTCTCTAATTTTATATAAAGTTCAGTTTAGTCTCTTAATTTTATAAAATATATGTTTAGTCCTTTAACACTAACAGCATTAGTTTAAAATAGTTATTTTTTATACTAACATTTGTTATTTAAGAAATTAAACTTAATATATAACTTTTGAGAATGTTTTCTTAATATTTAAATGTTCAATATAAAATTTTTTTACCAACAAAACTAGCAATGTTAAAATTAAAAGACTAAAAAATACATTTCATAAAAATAAGGGACAAAATTTTATGTAAAATTAAAGGGCTAAATATGCACTTTGACCCCAAAATAATAAATAATAAATATTATATTCAAATGTTACTTTTTTTTTTACAATGAAATTGTAGAATGAAAAAAGAAAGAATCTAAAATACTCTTCATATAAAGTTCAAATCAATGGGTAATACGTTATACAGTTTATATTAGTCAAAGGGGTATATTTTTTTTATTTTTTTATTGTGTGCATTTTTTTCTTTCTTTTTTTTTTTGGTTATCTAAGATACCCTACGGCAGGTAACTGTGAGATTAATTTTTTAAAAAATATGAGCACTGTCAAACTTTGAAACAATACTTAAGTGGCTCAGATTATTATCATTTGTATCACACGTAGTTGGTTGCATGCATGTATTTTCTATTAAAAAAAAATCATATGTGAGAATATTTTTAATTAATAAATTTTAAGATGAATAAATCTCCATATATATAATTGACTGGTAAATAGTACTAATATTTCATGAAATATATATTTATTTATAAAGGAAGAATAAATGAATGAAGAAATTGTAATTTTAAAATTAAGATTATTAGTGAAGAAATCTTATATTCATATAATTAATTTTTAATTATTATTCATATGATTATAATGAGGAATAAAAAATACTAGTAATCATTGATACAATGATAGCTGATAGATTGATGCTTAATATTGATTGAGAAATCTTGTTACATTGATTAAGAGTCAGATGTAAATGTTTTGAAAAGTGGACTATAGAAAAGAAAAACATTTCTTTTTAATTGGGCCTGGGAGGAAGCAAATCAAACTCTATCATTTCCAAGAATTTTAATTATTATAGTTTTCTAATGATCTCGTCATTAAAAATATAAAAAATATAAAATATTTTTTGAAAATTGGATGTTAAAAAATATAAGATATTTTTAGTCTTTCGAAATGTAATTATTGTCTTTGTTTCAAAAGTGCCCTATTGATAGTAATTTTATATTTATAATAAAATATTTAATAGGGGTAAATATGAAAAAATAAGGTTAGTTTGAAAGTAAGTAACTACTTTATTAGATGGTAAGATTCGATTAAAAATGTATTATATTTTTAAATGAAGGGAGTATAATTTAATATTAGTAATTAATAATTTTAAATATACTTCCCCTCCCCAAAAAAATTTCATTTGCATCCCTTTAAAATCCCATATACATACTCAACACATTTTCTCTTGAAAACAATTTATTATTGAAATATCAAAATTAATTCAAATAAATTTATTAATGAAAATGAAATTATATTATTTGCTTCTAGACTATACCTTTCTCATATACTCAAAATAATATTTATGTCTTTAAGTTTTCTTATATACTCAAATTATATTATTTTGCTAAGTCCCCAAGCATTTTGATTTTTATCATTTTCTAAAAATAATCTAATATTAGTAATTTTAAATATACTTTCAATTGCCAAAAAATATTTATTAGTGTCCCGTTCAAATCTAAAATATTTTTTTATTAAAATATATTATATTATTATATATTTCTTATAAAAATAAATTGTATAAAAACTTTTAAATATAAACATAATTTACATTTAGTATTCTTAATCCTATTTTTCAACCACCAATAAAATGCTTCCTATGACATTTGAAGAATATGATTGAAGAATATAATAGATACATATATTGTTTAATAATTTAGAAATTTTATAAAAAAATTTATTTTGTAAGGATTTTATAAAAAGTAAATATTATTTTCATGTTTGGTTATAATAATTAAAATTTGACTATAAATTAGTTATTTTTAATTCTTATGATATATTATTTATTTTTTAATAAAAATTATTTATTATTTAATTATTTTAAAATATTACAATATTTTTGTGTATACCATTATTTTTTATTGCATTATTTTTATTTATCATATCAAATTATTTTTAAAAGCTATCAAAATAAATTATTAAAATAATTATAAATATTTTTTTCAACATAATAAATAATAGGTAGAAGATTTTTTTTAAGAAAATTAAATGAATATATTAGTTAAATATAATACAATTAATTTCATGATTTTATCAATATCAATATTAAATGTAAAACTCATATTAATATTTGGGCCTGACTGGGCCTCGTGAAAACCCTAGAGAAAGAACTCTTCTGCCTTCTATAAACCTTCTTTTCGTTTGGCTCGCGTCTTCTCACTTGTTGCCGTCGCCTCCATCTCCTTCAGGTATAATCTTCAATCCTCCTGCTTCTTCTGGCTCATCTTACTCTATTTCTTTCTCAAACGATGAGGAGACACACTGACACTAATGAAAATGGTTGTTCTGCCATACTCTTCGCTGTTTTCTTTTTCTTCTTTTACCATTTCGGTTTTCAAATTACTGGGAAAGGGAATTTCAATGGGAATACCGCAAATGGTTGTTCTGTCATACTTTCAATTTTTTTGTTTTCCTCTTTTACCATTCTAGTTTTCGAATTATTGGAAACGGGAATTTCGGTGGGGTAACTGGGGCATTCAGCTTAGTACAGTTTTGCTGAAATTTTAAATGATGAGATTGAGGTGTCATGAAGAGTAAGTTAGAATGATTTGTGTGTTTACTCTGATTATTTCGTATCTAGAAGTTTGCTCATATAGATTTTGAGGTTAGTGATTCTTGGGAGTGGTTCTTCAATTAGCGTGGTTTGGTACTTTTTAATTATTGAATGTGACATTCAGTTAAAGGGAAAAAGAAAGAGTAAAATGGGAATTTTTTTTTTCTACTGAAATCATATTTGCGAATGTTTCAGAGATCGGAAATGTATTAATTTTTTTGAAATGATAAGGAGTTTCACGTACTGGATATTGTGTTTGGAATCTGCGTGGTTTGACATGGTTTTCTCTATCTGAAACGTACAAATTATATTCGATCATTCCTGCGATTGTTTGAAATATAACTCTAGCTGTATCTTCCTTCTGGCAGAAACAAGCAAGCTTTTCATCTCCGAGGCTTCCACAAAATGTCAGGGTATGTCTATTTTTCTCCGTTTACATGTTATATGCAACCTGGCCTTTGATAACAGCTATTAATATTATTATTAGTTACTATCATCTTTTTCTTGCATATTTTCTGCCAGGTTTCTTTTTTCAAATTTTTATGTCCGAATTTGATGGGATAAATACTGGATTACGCCTGTTTAATAGAATTTTCGGTAGAAATTAAGATTTTTTCTTTTGGTTAACCTCTAATACTTATTATCTGGGAAAATATCCTGATCACTTACAGAGAGGAAGAAGTAGCAGTTCCTGCTGAGGCTTCAGCACCCTTGGGTGAGAGCATGGACATCATGACTGCCTTGCAGCTTGTGCTAAGGAAGTCACTTGCTCATGGGGGACTCGCACGAGGACTCCATGAAGGTGCCAAGGTGATAGAAAAGCATGCTGCACATCTCTGCGTGCTTGCTGAGGACTGTGATCAGCCAGATTATGTTAAATTGGTCAAGGCACTTTGTGCTGATCATAATGTGAAATTGATGACAGTTGCTAGTGCTAAAACTCTCGGCGAATGGGCTGGTGTAAGTAAACTACTGTTGGCGTTTCTCGGGTTCTGTTCAGTTGTTGTTGCCTGGCTTTCGTGTTTACTTGTAAATGCTTTATTCCACTTTGTAATTGGCCCAGTTTTTAAATTTGGTAATCAACTAATTAGCTTAGAGATCATAATCATACTTCACTATGTTATACAATCTATTTATTCAGTTGTTATTGCGACGATATATAGTCAAACATGGAAGAGTCTGTGTTTCAATGTAATTCTCTCCCTGCTGTAGTAATCTCTTTCTAGCTTCTGTTTTGATGATAATTTGATGTATTTGCATCATCAAACCCTAATAAGATGCATCTGAGGTTTTAATTTATCTTTTCTCTTTTCATCATGCACAGTTGTGCAAGATTGATTCTGAGGGCAAGGCAAGGAAGGTGGTTGGCTGCTCCTGTGTTGTTGTGAAGGTATAGGCTCTTCATGTGAATAAATATCATTTTATTGTTCCATAAATTTTTCTAGCCTCTTTTATCAAATATCAGAAAGGAAACTATGCACAAGTGCCATAATGTTTAAACGAGTTACATTCTTCATTTTTTTCTTAAAATTATACTTGAACTGTTTAGCTGAAATCAATCCACTGGTTTCTGCAGGATTTTGGAGAGGAGTCGCCAGCATTAGATATTGTTCAGCAGTACATAAAGGCTCAATAAATTGGGGCAAAAACGAAATATGGGAGAGCATGAAATGTCTTTGTTTAGGAACAGGTCTTCAGTAGGCAGTATCTTTTATATTGTTCTTGGTCTTTTGTTGTGTGGAACATTAAGATAAGATCTTCTGTGTTTTTGCGTATTTCCTGAGGAGTTGATGATTTGTATGCTTAACTTGGGGAAATTAATGAGTTTTACTCTCGAGAGCATGTAACGTTATATTTTTCTTCATCCATATCTAAATTTCAGTTTTTATTTATTTATTTATTATTATTATTATGTTTTTGGGTATGGATATGTCAGACATAACGTTCCAGTTTGGCCTTTTCCCCTATACGCATAAGCTTCTGTAGTTTGATCATTTTGAAGGTAAATACCATCATTCTAACAAGTTGAGGGAATTGGATGCGGTTACTCTGGGTTTGTTTGGTTTTTATTTTCAAAAGCTGTTTTGTTTTTAAATACAATAAAAAAGCTTGTTTAGATTAGTGATTTGGATTTAATTGTTTTAAAAACTTTTTATTTTTTGTTTTTAAAAAGAAAAAAAAATGACAATATATTTTGATTTCATTCATTTGTTTTATTTTCAAAATATATTATATTTAATTATTAAAAAATATAGTTAGTTTGACTGATTTTTATCATAAATTACTATCATTAATTGTTTGAAATATCATATCAATCTTTTTTTTAATTTTAATTTTTTAAATCAACATAATTAAATGAATTTTATTTTATTTTGCTTCAAAAATAATTGTAAAAACTATATTATAAAATAATTTTTAAAAACTAAAAATAGAAATGGAAATTCAACTAAGGCTTTGTAAATTTAAGGGAAGATTCTAGCGAGGGATCCTTGGCCAAATATAATAAAAAAGAAGATTGTTGAATTTTTGAAATTTCGCTGAAGAATCTGTACGGATTTTTGTTTGAATTTTTAATGGAAATGATAAAATTACCTTCATTTCAATAAACAATACAAATGACTTATTCTTTCTCATGCTATATGTTGTTCATTTATTTACGAAATGTTGTTTATTTCCTTATTTTGCTTGTTTATAGTCTTATTTTCACTTAATTTCATTATAGGGCCATAAATAAGTGAAGTAAAGAAGCAAATAACATTCTGTAAATAAATGAACAATATACAGTATGGAAACGAACAAGTTATCTTATCATAAAACCAACACATGAAATATAATCAAATGAAAATAGGACTATAAACAAGTGAAGTAAAAAAATGAACAATATTTCATAAGTAAATAAATAATATACAGTATGAAAACGAACAAGTTGTTTATGTTATTCATTTAAATGAGGGCAATGTCGTCATTTCTATCAAAAATTCAAATGAAAATTCATGAGTCCTTCAGTAAAATTTCAGAAATTTAGAGGTCCTCTTTTTCATTATGTTTGGTGAAGGGTCCCTCTTTGAAATTTTCCCTAAATTTAATTAGTTGATCAAGATTCAAAATTACAATAATGGATTCAAAAAAATTTTGGTCATTTTTCTATAATTTTTTATATCTTTTTTTGTTATTTTAGTTAACTAACAATCAAAGTTAATTTTTATTAATAACATAGGTTAGATTATACTGTTTTCAAAAATTGAAGGAATAATTTGTATAATAAATGAGTTTAGGGTTTATGATGCTATTAAACATAAAGTTTAAGGGATAATTTACTTATTTATTTCTTTTTTTATAACATTTTCAGAATTGATTTACTTGCAACGTTGACCATTATTCCTATGATCTTATTTATAAGTTACTTCTAATATATTTCACTAGAACTAAAGAAAACCTTAAAACTTATTAGTTTTGTCTCAAAATTCAATAAGTTATCAAGCTTGCCCCCTATTAAATATATATACTTTAATAATATATTTTCTTTCTCCAACATTCAATGGAAGATAAAAGAAAAAATTTGTGTTAAAAATTTAATGAGGTGACTTATAAATAGAACCCAAAAAAGCTTCTTTCTTTTACCTTATAAATAGAATCAAAGGAAATATTAATTAAACAACTTTGGACATTTTTTTAGTGTATAAAAGTTTACGTGAGTTGAGTTCTGAGACTTTACAAGGATCAAGACATGCCACCATATTTAAATAATACTTATAAAGTTACTTACAAATCAGGAGTGTAGATAGGCAGGTATGAGCCACGTGTGGCCATACCCATTACCTGCCTATTTTTAGCTAAATGGGTAGCCACCTGCCCGCACCCACTTATGCTAGTTTGCACTCATTTTAAAATGGGTGCAAACGGATATGGGCAGGTACTAGGGGGTTTGGGGCATCCGTTTACTTGCAGCACCCACTTTTGAAAAAAAATAAAAAACTCAATCAAAACATATGATACAAGGGAAGAGTGTTATTTTAAATAATTACTCCCTCCGGTCCCATTTATAAGTCTCATTTTAGAAGGTGTATTTGGTCCCATTTATAAGTCGTGGTGCGTCTTTTTAGATAATATTTGAGAGGTATTTCTAAAATTACCCTTCATGAGAGAGAAAAAGTAACAGGATATTACTTTTTAGATTTATTATATAGGGACATGTTTGAAATTTTACTTACTTTTGTTCCTTGTACTTCTATTTTATTGGTATTGATGAGGTTGGTAGAAATGACTTATAAATAAAACCGGAGGGAGTACCAAGCATGTTCACATTCCAAACCAACACATTATTCTGAATTTTTGATCATGCAAAGGAATAGGAGAAGAGAGAATACTACATCCATAAATCTATGAGAGCATTTCAAGTAAGAAGAAGCAAAGAACATATAACCAGGGTTCATGAGAACGAGGTTGAACAACCAGCAGCAGTCACGGAAAGGACGAGATCATGAAAACTAGGTGACTTACTTGATGGGAGGAAGAATGGCAAAGATGGAGGCAATGCTTGCAAAAACGTGAACATCGAATGGTGAAGCTAAAATCTCTCGCAGTTTTGCTCGACTCAGGTTGTCACACACTCACGCCAATAAAGGAGGGGAGACGAGTCAGACGACTGAAAGGGGCACTATGCAGGGGCGACTAGCTGTGGGCTATGGCTGGAGATTGGCAACGATGGACCCTAGACAAATGAGAAGTAGAGTGAAGGAGATTGGAGAGGTAGATCAGTCAGGGTCATTTGCTTAGTTAGGGGCTTAGGGCGCACACACAGCACAAGTTGAATGTCGAAGGCTTCACACTTTACTCACAATCACAACCTTCACTCTAGGAGTTAGGCCCAGGTTTCTCTGTTTTTGCATTTTTTTAAAATGTCATCCCAGGCCCAACTGAAAGTAATAGAGCCCATGATGAGAATGGAGAACTGAAGAATTTTATTAGAAAATAATAACAATTATATACAGGCAAGTACAGTTACCCTCTCGTTTTTTGACATACGGATATATACCCGCCCATACCTGTTTATTTTTCTTAGAAAATGGGTATGGGTTGACCCATTTTAATATAGAGTCGGGCAGGTATGGGCAGGTACTCGGGTAAATTGCACATCCCTGTTACAAATTGCCCACCAATAAAAGACATTATATGGGAAATGAGGTTTGATCCCATAACTTTAAATATTTATTTACATTCTATAATTTACTTAATTACTCCATACCAGAAAAAAATAATGAGTTTTTTTAGCTCAAATATAAGAAATATAACTACCCATTATTTTTCCTGCATTAATTAAAAGTTTCCTCTCTTACCTTCTTAATTTTGTTTTTGGATTTTTCCAAGCGATCAGCATAACCAGCTTTTCGACAGTCACAAGACTAATCTCTCAAGTAATTTAAATACCATTTAATAAATTAACATGACCAAGTTAGCATTATTGAATACACAATCATTATGTAAAACAATCAATAAGAGGATATTTTGAGAGAGAGAAAAAATAAATCATACATCTTTATTGACCTTAATTATATTTTCTAATCCGAGTAAAACAATCATATGTTTCTCACAATAAAGAAATCGAGAAGGAATAATTTTCTATCAAGAGTAGGACAAAACAATACCTTATCATATAAAGTTGTGGACAGTCCTTAATTAACCAATCAAATTCTTTCGTGCAAATCAACATTTGGCCTTGGTTTTGCGTTAATATTTTACAGCATATGTACGATGGCGATGCATCTTTATCCCTTGCATCAAGTCCTTTACTTGTCTTGATTAGCAGGTAATTAAAAGGAATGAAAGCTCCGGTCAAGTCAAGCATCCCACCATTTATGTAGATACAATCAGAAGTTCATTAGTTCTTAGTTTCCTACTTTATTGCACAAGATCTGTAAATCAGAGAAGACATTCTGACTAGCTTATTACTGTTTTAAAACATAAAATAGTCTTCAGCATGGGTCCATTACAATAGATTCCTATGAAGGGTTATATATGCCAAACTTGAAATATTTGCAAAGCTAGCCACTTCATCCATAGGTTATTTTAATATAGTTATTGGCTCGGTTTTTGAAGAATGGGATGGAGCATCACGCCCCTTAAAAGTGCGTCATGTATTTGAGTGAAATTGGTTGATGCAGGATCAGTATTTGGGTTTTGTGTTGAGCAAGTCTTTGTAAGTTTTGGCTGTTTCGAGAGTCCTTGAGTCATGTGCTTGTCACCTATTTATAGGAAAATAGATAACTGTCCATGCCATTAAATCACTATGGGTGCGCCTCGTCATGTGAAGTGGTGAGGGTGAGTGCGCTAAGAAACACGGTGTTCCACTTACGCTTATGCGACCAATTCACTGTTGGGCTGAGTTCACCTTGAGATTGACTTGGGCGCCGATCAATTACCTCCTGTGGCCCAATACGCCAATTTTGATCCAAACAATAGGCATAAAGAGCTCTTGCCGCTACAAATTCATACCTAAGGACCTTGGTGTTCACATGATCACATCTAGGCACAGTGAGAGCCACAATATTATCTGAACTCTGAGCCTCTGATTAACCATGGCACAAGATCGGTTTGCCCTGCTTGAACACCCATGCCGACTATCGCAAAGCGCATGGCCCAAGATACAAAGAGTGGCACATCATCTGAGAAATCGAAAAGCTTTTGCTAGGTACTACTGTCCTAGGATTGTGTCCCTGGGTCCTATTCACCACGGCGAACCCCATCTTGAGTTAGGAGAGCAGTACAAGCTTTCTTGGGCATCAATGTATGTGCAAGGTGATCGAAATAAGGCCCAACGTCTGCATGGAAAGATTGTTGTGAATATCAAGGATGTGAAGCATCTCTACACTGATGACGCGGTTCAACACTTCAGCGACGATGAACTGGCGTGGATGTTGTTTGTGGATGGATGCGCTCTGCTTCAGATCCAGAAGTATCCAGACATAATGAATGCAGAACCACTCGAGGCCAAGGCTGATCAGCTTCTTCTTGTTCGCCAAGACGCGCTCTTGTTAGAGAACCAACTTCCCTTCCGGGTCCTCCAGCTCTTGAGTGATCTCTCCGACGCCGACCTGATCGTTGCCATGGACGACTTCCTTTTTCTCCATCATTTTTCATCAGCAAAGACTCATCATCAGCATAGAATCGAAGGTGAGCATTGTGTGGTTGATGCTGTTCCTCGTTCGTCTAATCCACTTCCAGTTCATCTTCTTGATGAACTACGGCGGGGAGCCTTGCGTGATATTCGTCCCTGTAATACACAGAAACCGATCAAAGAAGACAGGACCAGGAGGAATTTGAAAGAGCTGAAAAAAGCGGGGATTCAAGTGAAAAGAAACAATAATTCAAGGTGTCCCCCCAACGTCACTTTCTCTTCTTCCTCTTTCGGTGGAGAACTAATACTTCCAGACATAGTAGTGGACGACACATTCGCTCCGCTATACCTGAACCTGATGGCGTACGAGGCGTGCCCAGATTTTGAGAATAAGTACGAGATAAGTTCGTATGTGGAATTCCTGAGCTACTTGATCGACCACGCGGACGATGTGAAGGAACTGAGGAAGGCGGGCGTTCTGGTCAACTGCCTTGGAAGTGACGAGGAAGTGGCCAGACTGTTTAACGTCATAACCACTGACTTGGTGCCTGACATCTCCATGTACGCGTCTGTTAGATCTGAAATAGAATCGTATTTCGAAGTTAAGTACAAGATCTGGCTTGCTCAAGCTTATCATGCGTATTTCAGTAACTCAGGCTCCTTTATTGCCTTCGTTGCTGCCTGTGCGATACTTCTTCTTACTTTCCTCCAAACCTGGTTCACCATTAGTGGCTCTAAATAGACCATTCCATACCTCAGTGTTGACCAATCGTAATGTGTTTTTGTTGCCATGTCACTTGATTAATTATGTGTCAAGTTAGAGTGTGAGTGTGAGTGAGTGAGTGAGCCCATGTTACTTGATTAATAATGTGTCAAGTTAGAGTGTGAGTGAGTGAGTGAGTGTGAGTATGAGTGTGTGTGTGTGAAGTCAAACCACATAAACAACTTAAACATTTATTGTGTGTGTGTGTGTCACATTTTGCATTATGCTTGATTCATTATCTTTGTTCAATAATGTACCATTGTATATCAATAATGAATCCTTTTAAATTTTTAAAATTTTAATGATAAATTTCTTGTATGTTAATATAAACCGGCTATATTTTTAAATTTTAAAAAATTTGGTTCATATTTTTTGGACACTATTTTTTTTGGCCAATGGACCAATTTATCCAAATTTAAACCATTTACAAATGGGAATTATCATGACAACAAAAATCATTAAAAATGATTATTATAGTAAAAAAAATTAATTAAACCATAATACAATAAGCTACAACAGTTAAAAGAGTTTAACATATAAATTAAATCGATATAAAATCCCTGCTGTAGTAAAAAAAAGTTTATCATAATACATAAAATAAAACTTGATAAACACAAAACTAATTTTTCATCATGGCATCAAATAATTAATATTCGAGTCATGAAATAGATCTTGGTCAACTTAACAGTCACATGCCATAACCTGTGACCTCAGACCTCTTCTAACATCACGCTTCCAGCTGTTATAGTTATACAGAAAATTAATTAAATGTAAAGATTTAGTGGAGCTCAAAACTAACAATAATACGCAATATTCAAAATAATTATATGGCTTGAGGCTTTACAATTAAACTCCACTTAAACTAACAAACGTTCACCAGAAATTGTTAAACCACAATGAGACGTAAGGTTACATCAACTACAATATAGTTTAAATGAAATGTAGGACATTTAAGTGGAATTAACAAGTAAAATAGGTGATAACTTGAGTTGGAAAACAAGCCAAGCCTCTTAACCTAACCCATTTAAGCATGTTTAAATCAAAGGTTAGGCTTGAGTTTTGGGTGCTTCAACACTTTTAATAAATATGTTGGCTCATTTAAGCCCCCACATATATATTAAAAAACTATTAATATTTAAAAGATGAAAAGGGAAAGAATTCAAATATGAAAAAAAAAGGAGTAAAGATGTTAAGAAAAATTAAAAAGAAACTTTCAGCTTAAATAAAAAAAGAAAATCTTAATACTTTTATTGTTGAAGAACCGATTCAGAGTGAAATACAATCAAATATTATTGATATTATGGATGAAAATGATGAAAATGATAGTGATCATCATGAAGATACTGCTAATGTTGTGAATAATTGTTTTATTGATATTTAGAGAAGACTTTTTCAGTTTCTTAAATTTTGGTTGTTTTGATCTTGGGAATATAGTTTTAACAATTTTGTGGTATTTTAATTGACTAATGTTTTAATTATTTCTGATTTAATTATTTTATTTTGATATATTTATTTAAAAAATTGAAAAAAAAACTAAAAGACCTAAACCCTCATATTAGCTTGAACCCGCAAGTTCAAAAGCTAGGCTTTGCAAATAATACAATTTTTGTATAATCAAACTTTTTAGAACTAACCATTGTAAGCTTGAGCCCTTCAAGGACTGGCCTAGCCTGTTGTCCTACTTCTAGTTGATAACATGTTCACAGATACATGTTAAGCTTAATCTAGATAAATCAGTATATACTTTTCTTATATCATTCTAATTATTTCTGACAGAATAATAAACTTTTAATTGGATCTCACCAAGTACACCGATTATCATAAGCTAGTTCATGGCACATGATCCGTAACCAACCTAAACTTTTTAACGCTCACGTACCTCTCATCCAAAGTATTACTTTATATTATTATAGGTTCACGGACTTGATTTGCTAGCAGTGTTATAACGTTGGACATTTTATTAAATTCTACAGTTTACTTAATTATTTCTCCGGATCTCTTTATAAAAAACAATTTTTAGCTTCAATATATGAAATAATTAATCATTATTTAATTTCTCGGGTTAATTAAATTTTTCCCTATTAAGTTAACATGATTAAGTTAATTAGAATCATTGAATGCATAATAATCACATTGCCGAACAATTGATAAGGATATTTTGAGAAAAAATAAATCTCAAACATAATTATTGACCTTAATTATACTTCTTATTCTGCCTGCGAAACGATTATATATTTCTTATAAAAAAAGTCGAGAATAATACTTGCCGATGCTTTAATGAAACAGGAGAAAACAATGCCTTAATTATCATATAAGATGTCGATAGTGCTTAACTAATCAATCCAAATTCTTTTGTACAAATCAAGCAAACTTTTGGCCTTGGTTTTGCGTTAACACTTCATAGCATACGGTGGTGATGCATCTTTATTCCTTGCTTAAGTCCTTTACTTGTCTTGATTAGCAGGTAAAGGAATGAAAGATCGGGTCAAGTCAAGCATCCCATGATTTATTTATATCCAAATCAGCACGTAGTTCATTAGTTCTTACTTTGTACTGCCAACCTCTGTAAATTAGAGCAGACGATGCTAGCTTCAACATTACAAAATTTTCTAATTAACAATTTACCCGAACATTAAATAATGAGAGAAAGGCATTTAAGGCCTTCTCAATAGAATTTATCGCAATAAAAACTCATAAGTTTTGCATCTAATATTGTTTTATAAAAATATGTATATATTATTGTTGAAACCTGAACCTTAACTTATTTTTTTTTTTTTGTTAAGATTTCCCTGAAAATTTATCAAGTTAAGGTCTAGCTTTTAATAACATATACTTGCTTTCACAAAACAATATTTTATCCAAAACTTGAGAACCTTATTGCAATAAATTCTTTTGAGAGGACCTTAAATGTTGAAGATATGTAATTGTTGATATGTTATTTGTTGGTTTATATTGTAATTCACTTATATGGGGGTATTTTAGTCTTTTACCCTCTATGATATATGTATAAATACTTGTACTCTATGATTGTTCTAATTAATGCAATGATATTATTCAGATTATGAATATTGCATTCCATATTTTCTAGTATGATATGCAGACACATTATAGTCAATGTGGTATCTAGAGCAACTAGTTTTTTGGACTTGCATTGAATTTGTTTGTTAGGTTAAGACTCAGATTTAGGTGGTCTTTTTCTTCAAGAACTAGGCCTTGACTTCAAGAAACTGATGAAGATAAATAAAAAAACACACACAAAGAGAGAGAGAGAGAGAGAGAGAGAGAGCCCATCTGCTGAGATACATGATACACATCATTTCCTTAGCTAAAGATCAAGATGGACACTATCAAAATTTTAGAAATACAATCATATCACCCGAGCCCTAATCTTTTCTTTTCTCTCTAGCATTCATGAACAAGAAACCCTAGGATGATTGAGAATGATAAGAAGAAGGAATAATTGACTGTGGTGACGATCAATTTCACTCACCCACTCTATCTACATCCCTCAGACACTGAGGCAATGATGTTAGTACCACGTATACTCATTAGACCTAGTTGGAGTCATGGGATGTATATCGCTCTACTAAGGAAACATAAATTAGAAATTGTCAATGGATCTTACACTAAAGATTTGCAAGATCCTTCCCTACGTGATTAGTGGGAGCGCTATAATGCCATGGTGTTATCTTGGCTTTTGAGTTCATTCTCCAAAGAGATTGTGAGTGGAATTGCACTTTCATAAAGTGCGAATTTGGTTTGTATCAACTTGAAGGAATGATTCTATAAGGTCATAGGACCACACATCTTCTCAATCTATCAAGAAATCAACTCACTAGCTTTAGGTTTGCTCTTAGTCTCTAGCTATTTCATAAAGCTTAAGGAGATATAAGAGGAATAGTTAACCTTGGTAGTAATTCCTACCTATAAATGTGAGGCATCAAGGGTGTACACAGAAGTGATGTAATAACAATGGTTGCTGCAATTTCTTGTGGGACTTGGTGATTCCTATAATCAGGTTCGATCTTAAATCCTATTAATGACACCTCTGCCTATAGTGAACCAAGCCTACAATATGATCATAGAAGATGAAGCACAAAAGAATATAGTAGGATCAAATAAGCCTATACTAATAAAAGGCAGTGCTATGGCAAGGATGTGGTAATCGAGGACATGGACTTGTTAAACTATATTTAGAGTATCCACACTGCCATAAATAAGGACATACTAAGAAGAACTGCTATGACATAGGCCATCTAGAGAACTTTTGAGGAAATAAAAGCAAACGTCCTTAAGAAAACAATTCAACCTAGACAAAGAGTGAAGCAGCTAGGGGCAGATGATGGGGAACAAACTCTAGCACCCACTTTCACTTAAAGAGCAGTATGAGCAAATTCTTCAATTGCTGAAGAAAGATTCAGAGCCTAATGTGCATACCCTCATTGGTACATGTTTGCATAATTCTTCTTTTTAAAAGCCTAGAATATATTGGATTATAGATTTTTGTGCAACCACTCACATGGTGAGTGATTTAGGACTTCTAGACTTTTATAAAGAATATTCTGGCCCTGTGAAAAACATTAAAATACTTAATGGTCAAAAAGTCCTAATTACTCATATAGGAAATGTTACTATAAAAGGAATAAGATTAAGAGACGTCCTGTATGCACCTAAATTATGCTTTAATTTAATTTCTATTCTAAGCTAACAAAGGAAGAAAATTGTCTAATTGCTTTCTTTCCTAACCTCTATTTGGTGCAAGACCTTTAGGGTAGCAGGATGAAAGTGATTAGTAAACTAATAGAGGGTTTATATTTTCTAAACATTGATGATCATTTTGTTAATGCTGCTAAAAATGTTGTAATCAATGACTTGAGTGATGAATGGCTATGGCACTGTAGATTAGGCCATCTTTCATTTCCTGTTATGAGACATTTGTATTTTGCTAATAGATAATACTTGTTTGAATAATAAAGTTT